TGGTGGAAATAGCCACAGCCTGATTTGTGTCTCAGCCTTTTTTGGTTCAACCTTTTGTTTGTCTTGTCTGTGCTTGGACAGGGCGAAGAGGAGGAATCCTATGATACCTCTGCTTGGGCTGAGGATGGCATCCCATACAAATTTTGGAGTTTATGATTTCTTGATATTTGTGCCAATGACTTGGGTTTGGGTCTTTGTGTGGAACAAGTTCACGAGAAGAGCAAGAAATCATTTTAATTTTGAATACCATACTACTTTCCAGTTGCACTTTGGGAGGGGTTAATGTTAATCCCAATTTAACTCAAATTCAAGCTCGAACTCGGACCCTTTTTTTTTTTACAGTGAAAGGTAATAAGTAATAGAACAACTGTGTTCCAGTTCCAAAAATTAAGTTTGATTTCAAGTTTTGGTAATGGAATAGTCAGCTGAGTATCACAATCAGTGTTTGCTAATATATATTTTTTTTTTCTGAAGTTAATTTCATGAAAGATAATTGTAGTTTTGTTTTGAGGCTGTCTGCTTGTCTGTGTCTGGTCAATCTCAGTAGTGAAGGAAGGAAAGTCCACTGCGGTGTTAGGCCCAGAAAGAATATAGTGGCTCTGTCATGTGGAGGACCCAACCACGTTTTTCATTGAGAGCCCAACGCATAACCCCTCTTTCAATTGCCGGTGGTGGGTCAGGTTCATCACTCATGGCATTAGAGACAGTATATTCTTGCCTAGACGGCTAGACCTAGTTGCAAACCAACCAAACCTTTAACAAGCGGTTTGGAATTGAGGTGGGATTACAGTCCACTTGACTTCTTTTATTATTATCATTATTTTTTATTATATAATAAAAAACTATCTTTTTTCATCTTATTATTATTTCACTTACATATTATTATATAATTCAGGTATGAAATATCTTAATTTAATTTAATTTTTTAAATTTATTAAAAGTAAATTTAAGTTTAACTAGAATTAGGGTTTTTAGTTCAAACCATTTCCCCTCACATTTTAAAACATTTAGATTAACTAATTGAGATTTTGACTTTTATAAAAAAAAAATACCCCATTTTCAAATTGTACCATGTTTTGAAAAAAAATTCAAGCTTGACTTGAATGAAAAAATTTGAGTTTATTGGTGATGATTTATGCGATGTCAGTTGTCAGGGATGGGTGCATGCATAGCACGCTTGCCGACATAAGATGAGTCTAGTATGTTGGCACTTGGCAGGAAATGACAAGGTGTTCGTGTGGTGTGGTTCTCGTCCCCAGCAGCTGCGGGTAAAAAGGTTAGTTTTA